ACTACTGAGAGCTTTTGCTGAATTCACTGCCCCTATTTCACTCTTTCATGCCTACCTGGCACCTCGAGTTGCACTACAGGTTGCTCCCCTTTCCTTTTTGTGTTGTGTTGGGTTTGGTTGTGTTGGTTTTCTTGTTTGTTTTGTTGGGGGCTTGTTTCGTGTTGTTTCTTCTCCTGTTCGGTTGCAACCTGGCTTGTAACTCCCATGACACTCGACCAAGGCGACTTGTGCACAACCTGCACACACAGCGCCTCCACTCGTGCAAAAAAAAACTGGCATTAGCATCTCCACTTTTATGGGCTTTAGCACAGGCCACAACTAGCCTGTCCGAGGCCACGCAACCTGGGCATGGCCGCAAATCTCCAACGCAGCCTAGGCGTTTTGGCCAGCCATGGCTGGCGCCGTTATGTCCTTCAGGGCCAGGGTGTATCGCTGTGGCCAAAGTATCGTTTCTAGGTAGCTCCTCGGCGAGGCTGCCACGTACGATATTAACAGCCGAGGCCCACCTCTTCTTTTCTGGGCTTCCGAAGGCAACAAACCTCCCGGCGCCTTTGCCCACAACGCAGCCTGGCATTTTGCCCGACCTGTCCGAAAACAACAGCCCAGACATGGCCGCAAACCGGTCACGCAACCTGGGCAACCATCGGGGCCAGGGTGTGTCGCTGGCCAAGGTGGCGTTTCTGGGTGGCTCCCGGGCTGGGCTGCCACGTACGGTGCCAGTAGTCGAGGCCTGCTTCTTCTTTTTTCTAGGTTTCCAAAGGCAACGGCCCCCCTCAAATCTTCCTCGGCGCCTTTGGCCGCAAACTTGCAACACAGCGTGGGCATTTTGCCCGGCCTGTCCGAGGCCAGCAGCCCAGGCATGGCCGCAAACCGGGCCACGCAGCCTAGGCAACCTTCAGGGCCAGGGTGTGTCGCTGTGGCCAAGGTGTCGTTTCTGGGTGTCTCCCGGGCTGGGCTGCCACGTACGGTGTTAGTAGCCGAGGCCTACTTCTTCTTTTCTAGGCTTCCGAAGGCAACGGCCGCCCTCAAACCCCTGGCCGCAAACCTGCAACGCAGTCTTGCCTGGCAAAGCTGCTGCGTGTCATTCTTTTGGCTGCTTTGTTTTTTCTATTTCTTCGTTTCGCGCTTGTACTGTCCAACTTGCCAGCTGTGTTCCGGGCATGGCTTTCCCATTGGCGTGGTATATCTGCTTCGAATGCGACCAAACAACTGCGATGATCAGACCAGACCACAGTGTGGCTAGCTGGGCATTTGTGCGGCTGCTGCCGTGTCTCTGCGCTGACTGCGCCTTCTTTGACATAGGCGGGAGGCACCTGAGACACCGCAGGGTGGAACCTTGGCATTAACATCTCCACTTTTATAGGCTTTAGCACAGGCCACAGCTAGCTTGTCCGAGGCCACGCAACCTAGGCATGGCCGCAAATCTCCAACGCAGCCTAGGCGTTTTGGCTAGGCTATGGACAAAATATCGTTTCTAGGTGGCTCCCCAGCTAGGCTGCCACGTATGATATTAGCAGCCGAGGCCTACCTCTTCTTTTCTAGGCTTCCGAAGGCAACAAACC